TTTTCATAAATTGCAATGACGTAAACACGAACTCGCGGAGCAATTTACATTTTTTTCTCAATAATAAAGAAAAAGTCGGTAGTACAAATAGCATAGCAAGAATAAAATTGAATGTCACGTACTTGACATGAGTGTGGCGAAAGAGAAAAGTAGGAAATAGGAGGAAAGAGCTTTCTCGTAGCGCACGAGCGTGAGCTAGATAAAATTTACGGTGAATATTTGCAGGTAACGACGGGAACGAAAGGCACAAGTCAAGCATCTACAGAACGGCACAAATAGGTGGGATACAGTCACGATTACACTTGCACTACAATCAGCGAAAGTTTTGAAATGTCCAATGATAGAGATCTTTTTTCCCTACCTATCTTTTCGACGCGTCAATGAAAATTTTGCGCATTCCCATGTGCGACACATTAAAGTATTTAAATAAACGAAATGCACCGTCGAATGATTGATTTTATGTATATACATTTTAGGTATGTATAATATCAACTGGTTACGTAAAATCAGTTTATCGATTTTCTACATTAAAAAAAGGCGACGCCAACGCTCGGCATCGGACACACACGCGCATATGTAGACATAACGCGAATGTGTAAGCGACGAACCATCAATTCTATAATGAGGAGAATCAGAAATTCATTTAGCTGGTTGTTTTGAGTAACATTCAGTTTCTCTTCTGGATGAAAATTATTAATTTAATTGAAGATGGGCTATATTGTATTATCGACGGGGCAACAAAAACGTATTCTAGAGCTGTAACGCACGTAATAACAACAAGTGAATTGATGGTTAAACATTGAAATAGTGACGACTAGACATAACCCTCGCCCAATAAAAACGGCTCGAGGCGACGACTATACAGTGCACAATGAGCACTTCTGATTTGATTATATTATGTACACTTTTTGTGTTTGTGAGCTTTCAACGATTCATATTATAAGTTACTTGGAAGTCGTTATTCTTCTTTGGCTAAATATTCATGATCCAGCGAAAAAGACAGCTATATAAATGCAAAAAGCATGCCGCGCGTTCAATGGAATCGATTTAAGTCAGCGGCCGTGTTGGTTAATAAAACACTAGTGTCGTCGAGCGCGCTCTGCGCGCTCATTTCTTGTTTGTGTTCAGTAATATTCAGTTTCATGCTTGAATCGAATTCAAGTTGTTATAGGCGAAATAAACAAAATTCTAAAATGCATTGAAAACAAAACACACTTTGAGACGCCTACTATACGTTGACATTTGCCAATTTAGCAATAATTATAAATAAATATAATAGATTTTAAGATATTTAGCTATATAAATAATATGCAGCGCAAATTAGATTTTTTTTTCAAATAAATACTACCGTTAGATGTATATAATAATTTAATTTTCTTTATTTTTCAACATACTGGTTTATGATTGCAAGCTTTCCGTAAGATATAACCAAAATCAATTCACAATATTTTATTGAAATATTGATGTGTAATTATTTTCATTGTTGATGATGTTTATCCAAAGCTAAACTTTACAATAATGATATTCAATAAACGTATATGTCAATATAGATGTGATAAATGTCAATGGATTGCATTCAGATTACTTTATCGTATTATTTTAAGGTTAAGCCGTTGAGAAAATGTGAGCTTATTGTCTTTTACCTTATTTTAATTCATTTAATTGATTGAATATAAATCGATATAAACGCCCCGGCGTACTATTCAGTGCTGATTTACTCATAACAGTGCCCTACGTGAATACTTTCAGCGAATCAGATCACGAATAAGATGACTTCGTTCGGCAGATCATTACTTTTATATATATAAGAAATCAGTGTTTCCTACATAAAAAATTGATAACTTGTTAAAATATAAAAAAATTCTATTATACACTACGTACACTGGATCATTTTCACATAACTGCATTCAGCAAATTAAATTTCGAATGAGACTTCACTCGGCAAGGTATCGTTTTTTATATAGGATCAGATGTGATTTGCGTGCTTTTATTTTCGTTTTAATTTCTTATTGTTATATTAATTAACTTACTTAACATTAATTACTTTTTTCAAAGGTGTATTTTTCAATTTTTTTTACAAAACACATATCACAGCAGAGCAATGTACATTAGTAAAACACGTTTCTTTTAGTTTTTTTTCAGCTATATGGGTCAAATTATCATTAAACGTTTATTTTACTTGTAGAATCAAGATTGTGACATTACAACATTTATTTCAAGCATACATTCGAAAATCAGATTATTGATTAGTAACATAAAATAGAGCAATTTCAAAGTGTAATCTCTTGCTTTTACGAAATGATTTACTTGTTAGTTTCATAAAATGAGTGTTAAAGCAATGACGCTACAACCTACTTTTTTTGCTTTCATTATTTTCAAAATAATCCGGATCAATTGTAATAAATTGAATTTTTATTACTAAAATCGCCATTTGAAACCATACAAATATAATTATTTGCCACCATGTAGCAATATATCACCTAACCATAACTCAAATAATCAAATCACGAATAAAGTACTTCAACGTGGCATTTATCACTTTTTATAAGGGGATTGCATGTTAGAAACAAAAAAGAAACATAAACATTGCTTTTGTAATAAACTTAAATTAAAATTAAATGAGACTGATATCAATAGATATTAGGGTGCACAACAACCTAGGATCTGCGATCTACAACTATACAGACAGAACGTGTACATTTCGCTGCCCATATCAGTATACTGTCACATTCACGTGATCACCTCTCTGCCAATGAGAACACGTATAAACTAACTTCACTTTCAGACCTATCTTCTTTTTTTTCTTTTTATTATTATTTTTATTGTTATTACTATTATTTTAACATAAGAAAGACTCATCTCTTTTTATAAGAAGGATAAGGACATGGAAGTTGTTATTTTTCTTTAGCTAAATATTCATGATCGAACGGAAAAGACTATATAAAATGCAAAAAGCATGCCGCGCACTTTGTTCTAGTTAATTGATGAGTAATTTAGAGCACTTGTAAAGCTGATGAGATCATTCAAAAATATATTATATATGCTAGTTAAGTATAAGATATTTTGAACAAATTTCACCATTTGCAGAATGTATTTTGCACAGTATTTTGAGCGTGAAAAATACATAAGTGCGCGTGCAGATACATACATTGTTGATGCATTCAGTTTTTGAAACATCAACATTAATATTTATATAATATTGCGAATAAAAGGTAATATACATACATTGTTGATGCATTCAGTTTTTGAAACATCAACATTAATATTTATATTAATTACAACATTAATATTTATAATATTGCGAATAAAAGGTAATATTTTTGCAAAGTAGATAGTTTTACTTTGCAAAATAAATACAATTTAGATAGTACATGAAGCATTATAAATTTTTTTCTCTACTTCACCTTTTCTGTGATAAAAAACCATTGGATTTATCAAGAAGTGGAAACTATAAGATTTGACTTCAGATTAAAAATAATTTATATGAATTTTTCTTGCAATGATATATTCGAACTCGTCCATTGAAGGACGCGTTTTTAACATGTAGTGTAGAATTTATAGTCATCATTGATGTTGCTTGTTATTGACTAATGATAGAGATATGGTGCAAGATAAATCTGAGCAATTAATAAAATACTGATATTGTATCAGTAACGGAATCCAATTTTACGAAAAAGATGATAGTGCAAATACAGGAATAAAACGTTAGACACATCGAGTAAACTTCAACACACACTGGCTTGTCATTAGTGATAAATTCACGGCAAGCTGTACGAATGAGAGAGCGAGCGAGAGAGAGCAAGAGAGAGCAAGAGAGAGAGAGAGAGAGAGAGAGCAAGAGAGAGAGAGAGAGAGAGAGAGAGAGAGAGAGAGAGAGAGAGAGCAAGAGAGAGAGAGAGAGAGAGCAAGAGAGAGAGAGAGAGAGAGAGAGAGAGAGAGAGAGAGAGAGAGAGAGAGAGAGAGAGAGAGAGAGAGAGAGAGAGAGAGAGAGAGACTGCAGACAGAAATTCCGCTGCTTGTCCGACCTCCTTAGCTCGTAGCATGAGTATGTGTGAGTGGTGTATATAGGTACGACGGCAGCCAATAACGTCGACGCTTTCTCCTACGATGCGGTTCACACGACGATGCGCGTGTAACATAGGTAAAAGGGGTTTGTGAATTTTGGAGGAAAAAGCAAACAATGGCTGGGCGTTGGCTCTATTGCATAAGAATTGGTTATCGCGGCGTGACGCACGTGAAAACATTTTCAAAGCTTGCGTACGGTAGCACACGTTGACACGTCAGCTCGGCTTCGTCTGTCGGCCATCGTCGCTTTGGTATTCAGCGCGCAGCGGCCCTTTTTACACTCGTTTCTATCTCTCTTCATTTTCTATCTCAAACACTCTGTTACAGGCATATAAAATCGAATTCACTCGTGCACTATAACCGAATGCGACCCAAAACGATTGTAAAATATTATCGAATGAACGTACAGTGGATGAAATATAGCACTAATAAAAGTAGAGCGTTGATTTAGAGCGCGGGAAAGTGTAAAAGGGCGTTTGGCGTACTGATCGTAGGCCATTACGTCCGTAAATAGCAGAGTCGGCGGCGTCGATTGCGTAACTGCGGCCAAAGCAAAGAGCTAAGAGAGAGAGAAAGAAAAGTGTGGTGTGTGATGTGCTTTGAGAAAAGCCCGGGTAGCAGAGCGCGGGGGGTTTGTGTTTACACCCCCACTGCCGTGTCGAGAGAGAGAGAGATAGAGAGAGAGAGAGAGAAAGAGAGAGAGAGAACACGAGAAATAGAGTAGAGGCGGGAGGCGCGCGGAGGGGCCCACCACCACGCAATTTCCAACCCCACCAGGGCTTTCTCTCTCTCCTTCTCTCTTCTGACGGCCAGTGCTGGCGCCGCGTCTCTCTACTACTCTGCACCCCACCATCAGATCTCTCTCTCTCACTCTCGGCACACGCGACAGTTGAGGGTACGGTATTCGCTCCGTTTGCACAAACACGAGAGCTTACCTGAGCGAAAGCAGCAGCGGCCGCTGACTTTCTCATTTCACCTCTGCTACTGCTGCTGCTAACGGTACTCTTGCTCTCTTGCAAGCGGACGGTAGCGTCCTCGTCGATGAGCCAAGCGACACGTCAAAAGAGCACACGCATGCGCTACCGATATTTGCCGAAGATGCTGCTCTTCAACTTGATTGTCTTCATTGACTGATAGTTGCCGGATGATTTTCTTGCGCTGTTGCACGTGGGGCCAGGTCACAGGTGAGAATCCCTCGGGGTGAGGAGAGGGAAGATCAGCCGTCTCGCTGCGTTACCCCCTACCTAAACGCCACTTTTTACCACCTCTCCGTTGGCTCCCCGCGAACGTATACTGCTGAACGCTCTGCTCTGCCACCGCACGGACTGATGGTTCTGTAGCTACACGAAACTCTACGTGCCTTATTGCCACGAGCGCGCCTGCGTGTCTACGTATGTACTTCTTTCTCCCGCCGAGCCAAGCGCCACGCTGAGCACCAACCAACGGGTGGCTTCTTTTCGATCTGCGTCTAACATGGCGACAATCTAGCGCGAATTTTGAATTTGTCGCTTTTGTCAATTAATTATACCCTAAAACCTTTATTTTACTTTTGATAGATGTGATTTAAAACGATAATAAATATTACAAATAACTACATATTCGCAACATTTTAATAATTATTGAGTGAGTGGACCTTGGGCATTTTTTCATCTCAACAGATTATAATAAAAAGTCAAAATTACTTACTCCCATTTAGATTATTGCATTAAACGTCTATTCAAAAGAAATTGATAAACATAGGGGGTACCAAATTATAAATGCTGTTTCAATTTTGTTTTTTCATGACTAGTTCCAGAGGAAAATTGATTAATAACTAAACTATTATTTTTCAAATTAAACTTATTATTGTAAGTAATCAATATCATTTATGAATTACATATTAAAATTTAAATTGTTCAATATAAATTGTATTTTAGGATTCGTAGACAAAATACATTTCTTTTCATTCCATAATTAGAAAACTTTAGGTAGTCAAAAAAATCTTTTGAAACAAAATACTTACTAATTGATAAGCATTCTTGAAATTAAATTTGAATGAAATGTTTTAATTTTTGTATCAAGTGAATTTTTCTAATGACCATACTCATCGTAACATTTGGTGAATTGCAGCTAATATTAAAAATCTATCTAATATTTGAATAATGAAAATATATATATTGTAATAAGTCAATATCAATTACACTATTCAATTTCTTTTGGTTATCATATTTTGACTATCCAAATATTATGAAAATTAGAACAATTACTATTATGGCGTTTTCAATTCAGACATAAATGCACATCAAATTTTTTGTCTAATTAAATAAATTAATATGCACAATAATGGTATTTTGAATTTAATAATATTGTAAATAAAAGGATGTATTGCTCCTTGGTAAAGTATGACGGAATGATTTGTGCATTATCATTTGAAATATGCTTGTAAATACACTTGCAAATTTTATACTTATTAATAAAAAGCAGTTCATCACTGGCTCAACAAATGAGCTTGTACTTTTTCAAGTCACGTCATGGCAAATAACGTAACATTAAATACTCAACAATGATCGCACTTAATTTTTACTATGCAACACATTTTACATTTTGAATTATTCAATGAATTTCTAACTTTTAAAATACTAATTAAAACAAAATAAATAAAGGTATTAATCATTCATGATTCAAAAATTGATTTTGATTACTTCGATATTTTAAAGCTTAGAAGTTTTAAAATACTTAATAATCTAACATCATAATATAATAGGATTATGAATTCGAATTATTTTTAGAATCAGAATGTTGATTGTTGATTCTTTTATGAAAGGCTGAATTCTCAGCGAGTCAAAATGATATACAATTCTTGAAAGTTTTTTTTGTAATTTAGAAATCTAAAAAAGATAAAAGCCAATTTGTTAATAATTATTTTTACAAATCTTCCAAATATTAAGCTCAATACTTTCAGTTAGAAACTTTAAGGCTAGCTCAAATTGAAATATTATCTAAAATTATGAAAAAGAAAAATAGCATAATAAAATTATCAAAATTTTCTCATTCCACACATAAACATACATAAACATTACACCCATACTTTCAATTTACTTAACAATCCTGAATCTTTACAACTGTCAATAAAGATTTTCTATTCTTTGTAGACGTTCCATGTGCAAAGTATACAAAAGTTTGTTGTTTTCATAATAATAGGGATTGTCAGTAGCACTCAAATCTGGATTATATTCACTGTAGCTGCTTTGACTTGAACTGTATCCATCACAGGATGAAGAACCTTGAGATGGCTCAGAATGATTTGGAGATGGAACAAAGTTCTGATTACCCCAATTTGCATCTAATTGTTCTGGTGATCTTTCTTGAATCCCAGAGAAGTTGTTGATATGAAGATTGTTGATTCTCTTGCTTAAGGGCAACTCACTACTTTCTTCTTCCATATCGCGACCACGTTTTCTAAAAAATGAGTATGCAGAATTAATATTACACTATCCAAACTATTTACGTAGTTATGACAAATAATCTGAACAATGTATCTTTGTATATTTTGATAAATATTAGAGTAGGAATTTAATTTTATTGTTTGTAGTGTACTATTCATAGATAAATAGTGAAGTTATTTTTGGAAAAAGTCAAAACTTAAGTTGACCAAAATAAAAATATGAGTTGGGTGATTCTGTCAAAAAGCTTCCAGCAGTTGACTTCAGACCTCACAATTTATGCTCCCGCTTTACGAAATCTGTGAGGTTTGAAGTCAACTACTGGAAGCTTTTTGACAGAATCGCTCAACCCTGAAAAATATCAAGTTTGTGTATCACCATCATTAAATCAACAGTAAGGATCAATTTCGTATAAAAATCGAAGCTGTATAACAATACTGCTATAAGAAAAATTTATCCACGAATATTGATAATAATGGAATTCTATTTAAGAATCATTTCAGCAATATTTTTATCTCAGTTAAAGTAGCTCACAATATTTTTATCTAAAAACAAATTTTTATTTATCGATATTATATGTCAAAAAATTATAAAACCTTACAAATTATTTAATGTAAATTCATTTTATATTAAATAATAATAGATTACATCACAAAAATTAAAATAAAATTCATCAGACTTCAACAAGATTGTATGAAACTTTACAACTCTGTTTCGCTTTCCATGATAAACCGTTACGAACAGACGAACAAATCAATGATTTCAATATAACTGTGTTTTTCGAAATACAACCCTTTACTACCCCGAGAAAACGATAAAAGTTAATGTCAAAATATATAACGCAATAGCCAGCATTTTCTTTGTTCCCTTGCGTGAGATAGCGTGAAAATCGAAAGGTCTGCGTGTCACATACACAATCTACATACAGATAGGCAAATTTGTAAGTCTGATATGATAGTTTTATAAACAAGCACTAACCTGTTGGCTTGAGTCATGTTTTTAACTTTTTCTCTTGACTTTTCCAGAAGAAATGGCCTCATTAATATCTTCTTGCAACCATGTCTGCGTTGCCCTTCGAATTTTATAAGATAAAATCGAGTTCAAGCAGCTAAGAGAGAGCGAGAGAGCTGGTTTAAAGATCAGTAGCAGCAGCAGTGCACTGTGGAGTAGTAGATACTTCTTGCTTGCTTGCCTTGCTTACAATCTGCTTGCAACGCTATACTGGGGTTGTGGCTGGCGTCTGGCGAGTGGCGTGCTACAGCGCGTGTGCGCGTCGACCAACTTTTTCATGCGCACACAAACACGCGCACTGCGTTGTGCACTCTTTTTAAGCCTTATTCACAATGGTCGATGACTAATTGACTAATAATTTCGTAAATGTTTATACATTGATTGTAAAAATTTCTTCTAATTGTCAATAATATATTACTCACATGATTTTTTTTATTATTCAAAAACTGTTTCTGTACCCTAAGATATAATTTGCTACTATAATTCTTAAAAGACTGATTCGTTGTGATACTGGTTTTACAAACTAACTTTTATTTTACGATAGGATTGCGATGACATAATCCTTTTTGTTCTTTTTTTCGCAAGCTGCTATCTATGAGGCTACACTTTGTATGTTCGTAGTAGTGCAGGCACTTTTGAGGTTTTCTTCATTTTAGATATTTTCAGATCAAGTTGACCTATATATAAGTATATGTATATAAACCTTTCTACATAGGTCTATCGATTACAATAAAAACATCATTTTCTAGTAATTCACTTTAGATTTTAAATATCAATATTTTTATTTTATATATTGGAATGATTTTCTTTCAAAACAAAACTTTAAATTTTACTCTTAAAAAAATAGAATTGTTATTTTAGTATTATTTGTATAAGCAAAAATAATAATAAATATAAATTAAAGCGCTAGGAAAAAAAGCGTTTTTTCGAATCAATTTTAATAGTTTTGTCTTAAGTATATATTTTCTTGTGTACATCACTTTAATTTTAAGTGCGAGTTTATATAGATAGTTAAAAAACCATTTGAATTACGATCCGAAAATTACAGAGGTCGCTTTTTCGCGGCGCACGCGCCGGCGCATCCGAAATCCGAACTCCTTTAAGTTCTACTTGATCAACTGAGTTTCAACAATTATATATATATAACTTTTAAAACGTGTGTAGTTGAGTTGAGTGAGATAATATTTGCTTTCAGTTGACGAAGTTTAAGGTTTTATACCTACTTCTAAATAGTTCCTGCCAATAACAAACTTAAAATAAAAATTAAAAAATAATTTTCTTCTTTTATTTTATTTATTTATTTTTTTATCTTAAAAAATGATGAGTCACCAACATATAGCATTGTGATTGGTTAATGTGAAAAAAAGCGCGAAATTTTGAAATATTTGTATTATATATTTAGAGGCGTGAGACTTACATTTCAGCAATAAATTCAATTTACAGCAAGAATGAATATATGCCATTAATAAATAATTTGAAGAAAATAAGAGATTATGATTTGAAATTATTAGTATAAATTAATAATTTTATAACCATCACCGATACTGTAATTAATATTCTCTTAAAATTTAGTTGGAAGATAGAGAAAGAGAATAAAATGAAATGGAGGAAATTTTCTTTTTATCTTTTGCACAAAATTAAGAGGTATGCAAGCAGCGGAAACAAATTATCAGAATATCCAACCCATTAAATTTAAATAATGTTCACGGGTGTTTATAATGACGACGATTTTAACAAAAATACATACGATTTTAAATATATTATTCACGCTAAGACTATAGGGCCATCACTACTACTATTGAATATGTAAAGTTTAGTATTGTATGATAGTATAACAGTTTGAGTACATTTTATCAATCATAGGTTTAATTATAGTCTTTTAGAGTTTTTCGGTACATCTTGAAATAAGTAAAAATTGATCTATTTCTGTGAAAAAATGAGTGCAAATTCTATTTTTACTCATCAATGAATATGGATGTATACAGTGTATTTTAAAGAGCATGATTTATTCATCTGTACATAAATATCAATAAAATCGCATAGTTGTCATATAAAAGATTCAAATAATGCAATAAACGACAGAAAACCGTACATTTTTAAAAAGATTAAATAACGCTAGTTTCTTTAAAACAATTGATAAAAATGAAGTTTTCTAGCTTTCATAGTAAATTTACATTGATAAAAATTATTGATGATTTTCAATGTAAACACTTCAAGGTAAATTTCTTTTATTTATTTTCGATGTAGCAATTTATAATTAATTAAAAGTAAAAGTATTTATTTCAATAGTCATCCACTAAAAAAAGCTCTTTAAGTATCTTTAGGTCTATTTCTTTGATGCTGTATATGTAAATAAGATATTGATATATTTTTAATTTAAGAATATATTAATATATTCGTATGTTTATTATATGAATTGTTGCATAGCTGAAAGATCAACAGTAATTGATATTTATTTCCCATGTATTTACATGTAAAGTTTAATGTTTATAAGAATGCATATATTACATGATTTATATATCAAAATTTTACTAGATACTGTCGATTTCTGTACCAGCTAGTAAATTTGAAGTATTCTACGTTAATTAATAAGTCACCAGTACTCACAAAATAGGGTAGATTATTCTTTCAAACAATGAAAATAATTCTTTAAAATGACTCATGCCTTCTTCAATGTAAATGTAGAACTCATTAAAACTTATCTTATTACATTAAAATTGAAGAATTGTAATTTATAAATATTTACAAGTGATTTATTGCACGAAATTGGTATAGCAAAAAATATAAAAACAAGAATTTAAGAAAATATATATTTTAAAATATTTATTGAATTGAAGATTGAAAATTGGAGCCAATGCACATTCTGTTAGGAAGTTCAAGGGCATGCGTGTGTATAATTATTGTATTGTGACATAATATATTGAGTCGGTTTGACCGATATTTGGTTTAAATAGTCATTATCTACATATTTTAAATATTTCATTTTTTGTACAGTTTTACAAATTTTTACAAGATTTGTAAAAAAAAAACTTATGAAATTGTTTTAAGAATTAAATCATATGTGATGATTGAAATTCTCAAGTAAGAAAAAGTATTTTTAAACATCAACCAGATAAATTTAAACAAGTATTTACCCATAAATCTATGTCAAGTTCGTATTGTCGAGTTCCAATAAAGCTCAAATTAATGCTCAAAAGTAGCCATATAATCGTCGCACGTATAGTTAGTCTCTCAAGTGCAGACGTCGACTCATGTACTGCTAACGATGACTCATTGTTCTTTCATACGCTCTTTCTCACCGTTCGTCTGATTCACGCGTTTAGTCTCAGTAACGATCGCAAAATTTCAAGGATTATCAGATGAATCGCCATCGATTCATTAATTATTCAAACCGTACAGAAAATTTGCTATCTTACATTTAAGTAAATTATATGTATGTACTTTTAATTTGACAGTCATCTACAGATCTGCTCTATTATATCATTTATAATGTTATGATTGCAGTAGAGATCAGGTTCCGCTATTGGGATGGTCTCAATATTTTAGAACAATAATTTTTGACCGAAATTCATTTAAAAGTTTAAAAAAAATTAGGAGTAGATATTTTATTTGGCTCATATTGTGTAAAGCTATTTTTTTCCCTAGATCATTTAATTGCATACGAATGAATATTAATTTAATATTATGTATATCTTTTGTTTTTCGACAATAATAATAAATTCGACATCAACTTGCGTGTAATAAGGTTTTAAAATATATCAATGTTGTCTTTGTTTTGAGATGTTTAATGGAAAATCATAAAGTTTCGAATGAAAAAACTTTTAAAATATTATACTTCTTAGGCCAATAACACTTATGTAGAAATCAAATAATATTTATATAAAATGAAAACAATTACTCAATATTTAAAACAAGAATATTTATAAGCTCTCTTACATTTTTAAATACTAATCTACATTTTTCATAAATTTTAGTAATAATTATTTATTGTTTACTGCGAAAAAGTTAATTGTATATTTTAAAAAATCTAAATATCTTTCTTTTTAAACGTGTATTTTTCTGTCGAGTTATACCTATACATACCAATCTTTTCCGCATTTGTGCTTAAACACATGTAGTCTGGCTTGCATGGCTAAATAATTACATTAAAGTCAGTGAACATATTATATGGTTTCAAAACCTTTTCAAAAGGCTTTTATCACCTAAATTTAACAACATTTGGTAATTCTACAGAAAACGTTCCAAAGAGGTTTTGACAAAGTTTTTTATTCGGGTAAACTATAGAAATTTATGAGTTTGAAAAGCATTGACGTAAAAATGCTTTACTAAAATAAGTTAGCTTATGCTTCATGAGAAAAATATAAAAAATATACATATGACGAACAAGGAAATGAGTCAAATGACAAAGTAAAACGATAAAGAGAAGAGTATAATTATGGGAACTGCCGGCTTTAGAAGTTCGATATACACGCTATGAATGAGAGTAATATACACAATCGGTGAAAGTGTAATCATCTACTTCAGTAAATTTGCACGATTATGATTTGTCTTAGCACTAGCAAAAATAAGAAGTGCCGATAGATAAAATAGAGATAATAAATGTGTGGACAATTATTTTAACTTGCTTGGATGCATTGATCAAATAATAATGTGGCAGCACTATCAAGAAAAAGTTGACTAAAAACAGTCACTGCCAAATAAGCTGGGCCTTAACAATACCCTTGACATAGTTTGTTAGGTATATGGCATGATCCTCGTTTGGCGTGGCTATAATTGAATGAAAAAGGTCGCGATTATTTAACGAATCTATACGTTTTTGCTGCACAGAGCATCCACGTAAAAAATAAACGCTATGAGCTTGTGCATACGTACAATGCGTCTATCAGATTATATTTAAAGATAAAAGCAGAATACTAACCGTTAGTTTTGTTGCTTAGAAAAATGCAATCATAATTAAGCTCTGAATATAAACCCATCTTTACAGATTACCAAATTTCACAAATTTTCTAGATACAGTATAGTATGAGCTGGATAAACACCTAATTGATATTATAAGGTTGAGTTCGGGTTTTTAAAGGATTATTTTTTCATAGCTTTGCTTATTGGGGATATTATTACGTATTATAACTAATAAGACAGAATCCACTGTAACACTTTATATTGAATAAAGTGCCTTACATTCACAGTAACAAATACCTCATTAAATAGATACCAAACAAGGCATATAGTATTGCCATCTCATATATGTCGCTGATTTTAATAAACAATAGAACTAAAAGCACGACCTACACGAAGAGCTTGATGTACTGCCAAGCAAAAGGCACTGCCGCTGTTATCTTAAATGTTGCCGGAAGCTGGAGACGTCGCGATAAATCCGTATTTAGCCATGTTACATGACTAGCTTGCGGAAGTGTTCACGTGGCCAAAGTGCCCTAGTTTGTAGTATATATATCAGTATACAGTCTGGCCTCGTTTCTCATATAGTTTAAATGTCATTTAGTTGACTATATATGGCATTCGTACTTGGGTTTGTAATTTGCCGTATATAGACGTTTGGGCGTTGGTTGTTACGTTTTAGTGTCTTTTGTTTGCTTTTGCGTATAGTATGTCCGGACTCGTTCCACAAATTTTGCAGATACATTATATAGGCTAAATAAGCGCTTGGTTTTGTAAGAACTTTTAAAGGATTATTTTTCCTTATATACCTTTGCTAATTGGCGATAATATTATTCTGAACATCTATTTGAAATCGAATTTTGTATTTGAAAAGATAAGTCTCAAATTGAATCATAATAAACTGTTTCACGTTTGTTCGGCGCCATTTCAAGTACAATTATTGATCCATCCGAATAATAGAGTAGACATACGATAGAAAAGGTATTTTCACACTTGATTTATCTCGAATAAAGTCCCAATAGAGGATCAAAAACAGATTATCGAGGGGTTTCATATTGTTTCAAGAAGACCCGTCATAGGGGCCCGCAGAAGCTATTGAAAGATTAAGGGATTTTTGTGTTTTCAGTAACGTCCTTCTCATTGAGAATCTACTACGGTTTTACGTGAGTCAGCGTCTTGATTCATTGATATTTAAATGTGTCCCGCGCGTGATTCTATTTCATAGTGCTTAAAAATTTACAGCTCTCATGATACTACATAAATTTTCAAATCGTGTCGTAAATATATACATTCAAAAGATGCAATATAATCAACAATAAAAAAGCCATATTGATATAAATAAGTACGTGATCGATATAAGGAATATAAAATCCCATGAAAATGTTTGAAACGGTAGCTGTATTCTAATTTCTTCGGTCAAGTCATAAATATTATAATTGTATAGCTGAATTAGGCTATAATGAACTTTAGCACTAGATTAAAACTTTTCTATTTTTAATTCAGATTTTTCTAACTCCCGACTTGATAGTTTGGCTCGTGATTAATCTTTTCCGTCATGCTAGGCTTACCACTTCATGATTTTCTTCTTTATATAAGCGATATAATTAAGGAACTTGCAGTTATAACTCAAAGCACTATATATATCATGGAGTTATTTGTGGATCGGCTGCAGTATTTATAGGAACGGAATAAGCCTACGTATATTATATATATAGTTTCATTCACAAATACAGAAGTATTCCAACAAGTGATTGAGACAGATATAATGTATACGTACATCAGTAAAATCAACGAAGGTTAAAGCCAGCTTTTTATTTTTGTTTTTTAAGATGCAACACTTTGATTACCTAATTTACAACTATTAATTTAAGCTCAGATTGTCTGAATGAGGTGTAACAATTTTATTGTGCAAATTTTCATAACTTTGCAATAGGTTCATTTATAGACTTAGGGTAATAAAATTGAAACTTAATGCACATTCGTTATTTTGAATATATGAATATATTTTAATTTTATAATGAAAAAATTTCATGTAATCAAGTAATGAAAAACAGTAAAGTGCAAAGTAAATTGTAAGTTCAAAAATTTAGCACAAAATAATGTTAGAATTGCTGAAATCATTAAAGATAAGTGAAAATGACACACCTGACATAAATAAATTGTGCACATAATGATGCTACATAAAAAGACGCATAGAAATATATGTACAAAGAAATTTGGAAAATCTGTTTGAACAAAATAGAATATTTATAGCTATATATCTCACTAAATTAATGAATAAAAGAATGAAGTGAAGAAACCTATGTTCCGAATCTAGACATTCCCTCGCGCCAACTTTGAATTCTTCCAACATTACTAAGTTTGTCGATGAGACTTTCTAGCGCAGGTGTACGCATTTCATACACTAGGAGTAAATTCTTCATATACCACGCGCGCCTTGCATAAACAATCAAAAGAAACCAAGACTCTCTTGCCGCGATATTGGGAGTAAGAAAAGTGAAATTCCCTTATATATACGAGTGTGCAGAAAGAAATGGATCGATATCTCCGTTTCTCCTGAGTAGAAAAATTTAGACCTCGCTATATTTCTCTGCTTCATTTTTTTTCCAAATTGGTAGCGTTCTATAAGTTCTTGTAGATTTTTTATTAATACTTAGGAACCGAGTTTATGACGGTGTACTACTATTTAAATATAACAAGATGTTATTAGAGTATACTGTACAATAATAATAATGGTGATGATGATAATTATTATCATGATTATTATTTATTGTTTTTAAATACAGTGCATCAACAAAGTATTTTGCAGAGATAACTAAGTTGCCAACATGCAAGGCTAAAATAATAAAATGAAATAAACAAAAATACAAGTTAAGAAATGCTAAATACATTAATAGTGGCGTTGCCGCTGGAAAATTTTTTTTCAGGATCTCTAGAAATTATCGCATTTAACATAATGCAATAATCTGTAGGAACCCTGAGAAAAATTGTTCGAGCGGCAACGCTGATTAATAATTAAATCTGTATATAACAATATATAGATAAATAAATTAAATTATATATCTTCATGTCACGTTCTCCATATTTCAATTCTCTTAATTACATCTATGAGAGTGTCCGTATCTTGAAATCATTCTTTCAACAATTTCATGTTTATAGAATATTTAATGTTTATATTTCTCATTCTCATGTCGGTATCCTTCCGTATTTAGTTTTTAGATATCATTAAAATTTCAGAACATATGAATATGATAATCGTTGGATTCGTAAAAGCATTTTACTCTTTAAATAATTGTTGTATAATATTCTGTTGTAGACTTTTCATACCCACGACAAAATAAATAATAATAATTTATAGAATAAAAGTCTCTTTAATCACTAAATGGTAAACACAATTTAAACCAACAAGTTCGTAACTAAATCCAATCTTGGCGAAAATCGTATAAACCCTAGAAGCGCACTACGAGCTTGATATTTTCTACGCATACGCGAGCATCATCAGGTGGTTTTTCTATTTTTACCACATATATTCTGTCAGGTGGTTGTCGACGCGATGTGCTTTTCTATTATTAGCAAGACGAGTCTTGAGAATAGAAAGACGTACCTGTTTCCAGCCCCGTTTTTGCCACCAATGTTTTCATTTCGAACTCCTCGCGCTTTCTTCCATTCAAATTATTCAAATCGTATCGTCTTAGGTAATTATACGTGAAAGCTGACGACGCTCAATAGTGACATCACGTTGCAACGAACGTTGGCTCATTAGAGCTCAGCAAATAATGGAGCTGTTAATGATTTCAAGCAAGTGCAGTCTCGTTTTTTGAGCGGTGCCAAATCCTAATTTTTGTTTCAAAACGGAACTGCAGAAATCGCTTCCAAGGTTAACGCTGACAGTCTTAAATTAAAAGCGAAAATAAGTTTTTATTTAGACAGCTTATCTTTTTCTCCGCCGATATGTGCCACGAGATGAATGTTGTTTTTATGCTTGTAACTTGTTGAACTTTTACTTATCGAGTCTTTGAATGTATTAAACTTGCAGTTGAAGACTTTTGAATCCATTTCTTGAATTTTATAAAATATTGTCGCCAACATAACGCTTGCGATTGTGATACTTAAATTTCAATTAAGTATAACAATTTGATAAAGTAACTTCGGAATTTATCAGTGATAATATTGATAAACGATAATTTGAAATGAATCATCAGTTACGTGAATACAATTTTTGCTCCGTGTTGTATCTGTCTAGCAAGTATGACGTTATCATTGCTTATTACAAGTTTTTGATTGTAAATTAGTAACATTATGACTCATTATTTGTAAAAAAATTCAAATAGAAATAAAAAAAACAAACAAGTTTTTCCATTTTCATATAAAGGTAATTAAGACTTCTTCCAAGCTAGCTTTTGCAATCCTTGAAATTAAAATTTCACAACTCGATAATGTTTACGCTGTGCATAACTGCAAAATTTATTAGAGTAGTTGCTTTTCCGCGTTCGTCGAGCGCCGCGCTCATTTGTGACAAATGTTGGAAACATTGAAATTAGTCAACGAGTGACACACTTGTTCTCCATATAAACCGCAGCCTCAGATAAGAAGCGAAGCCTAAGAAAAAAAATATGAAAATAAAGTTATTATTCCACCGTATAGAAATTCTTCTTCAATAACGAATTGCTCTTTTGCGATGAAGACACGCGAGTGAGGCGCGAAAATTTTGTGATAAAAACACTTAGTTTTGCATGTATACATATGTATGTGTGACGTCTCCATTGACGTGTCACGCTCGGCTCGCGGCGTTAAGTCTGAGAAAAGATAGGCAGTTGCCCTACCACCGCCAAGTCTACTTCCATATATGGTAAAGAGCGCGAGGATTGGACGAGGGTGGCGCGGCGGTAGGGGCATTATAGTAGCGACGAGCGAGTGTCGGGCCGACATTCACTGCCCAGACTTATCTCTGCCATTCACGGTGCTCTTTGTACGTGCATTTGGTCACCAGCTCTATCTCATTTTTCCTTTGCTAAAGAACGTAAGTACTTTTAACTATCGTTTCGATTTCAAACTACTTCACCACTCGTCGCTCGTCATTTTCTCTTTGTTACAACTGGTCTTCCTTTTGGTCTTTGCGATATACAAGTGTAGTGCGCGAGTGTTGAATGCGGCCGCCGGCATTTTTTTTTTCTCCGAGTCGGAACATCCGGCGCCAAAAGTTATTCCGTCTGCAGTGAATTTACTCCAAAGTAGATTCGAGGCATAAATATTTAGTGGAAATTTGTCTGACTAATTGAACAGTTGAAAAGGAACCAATTAATTGGTTTTTAGGCAAAATCCTTGAAGCAGTAGCGTGCGTATCCCGGGCGTCGACTGGCTTATCGACCGTTAAACGTTGCGAGCGGGGCTGGGTGCGGCTTGTATAGATGTGAGGGACGCCGCGCCTCGAAAAGCTTTGCTCGATACAAAATCTCTCCTCTTTCTTGCTAAAAAATATCTTCTCTTCCTATGCTACATTTTATATCTACCTTTTCTTCCTCTCTCCTCTTTTTCATTCCTCTCGTCGATATATTCTTATATTCTGGTGGCAACGGTTGGTGAATTTTCAAAAGCCGTTGCTGATCACATGATGTAACCCGTGATTCTCACGAGTCGGCTTTTCGCGTCAAGTATTTAGGTAGACCCATCTTATAACATTGATTTGATTCCAAGCAACTCGGTGAATAAAACACTCTTTCGTAAATTTGATTTATCAATCTTGCGATTCTTATCTGATTACATATTTATATAATTGAACAGAATTTTACTCCACAGAATTTTTATACAGGTCAATAAGTATACGAAATAAGCATTCATTGTTTGCGCTATTCCACAAACTTTTAAAGTTCATTTATACTTATAGCTTTAACTTCTAAGTATATAATAAATTGAGTATTTTTTACAGTGCTTGATATTCAAATGTTAATAACTATACTCTAGCAAAAGATAATGTGTAATAATACGAAATATAAATTATTTATTTATAAAATTATCGATATTATGTTTGAATATTCTATTAAAAGACTTATTCTATAAGCATTTAAAAACTAATTTTTGAAGTAACAAAAGTGTTTTTTTAATAAATTTTCGATGTGACTGAAAAAATGCACTACCGCTATTTGAGGCAAATCGAGATCATTGTTAAAAAATTATCACGAAACTTTATTACGTGGCCATAAAGATAATCTTTCTTATCAATATTTTTTCTAGGCAAGTGCTGTGCCTGCACAGGTATAAAATCATATGAGTTTAAAACTGATGATGCTAATTGTTTAATCTGCTGTTCAATGACCCAATTGTTTTACCTGCAAATATCACCTTCTCCATAAATTTCTCAGCAACAACTGATTCATTTCTCGCGATATTACATCGTGATTCAGCACTAAGCAACGTCTCTATTTTAAATTGTACCTCACTCCACGAGTCATAACGTAGACTGTTTGTTTTCAGCAGTAACAAATCCACCATGTGCGACGACGACGTAGCAGCTCTTGTTGTTGACAATGGCTCCGGCATGTGCAAAGCCGGTTTCGCCGGCGACGATGCACCCCGCGCTGTATTTCCCTCGATTGTAGGCAGACCCCGTCATCAGGGCGTAATGGTCGGCATGGGTCAAAAGGACTCGTACGTCGGAGACGAGGCCCAATCCAAGAGAGGTATCCTCACCCTCAAGTACCCGATCGAGCATGGTATCGTCACCAACTGGGATGACATGGAGAAGATTTGGCATCACACTTTCTACAACGAGTTACGAGTCGCCCCAGAGGAACACCCGGTTCTCCTCACCGAGGCCCCGTTGAACCCCAAGGCTAATCGCGAAAAGATGACGCAGATCATGTTTGAGACCTTCAACACTCCCGCCATGTACGTGGCCATCCAAGCGGTACTGTCACTTTACGCGTCTGGTCGTACCACCGGTATTGTTTTGGACTCTGGGGATGGTGTATCTCACACTGTGCCCATCTACGAGGGTTACGCCCTACCTCATGCCATTCTCCGTCTGGACTTGGCTGGTCGTGATTTGACCGACTACCTTATGAAGATTCTCACCGAGCGAGGCTACTCCTTCACTACCACCGCCGAACGTGAGATCGTCCGTGACATCAAAGAGAAACTCTGCTACGTGGCCCTTGACTTTGAGCAGGAGATGGCCACCGCCGCCTCGTCTTCCAGCTTGGAAAAGAGCTACGAGCTGCCCGACGGACAGGTCATCACTATTGGCAACGAACGTTTCCGCTGCCCCGAGGCTATGTTCCAGCCGTCGTTCTTAGGCATGGAAGCCAGCGGTATCCACGAGACTACCTACAACTCTATCATGAAATGCGACGTCGACATTCGTAAGGATTTGTACGCCAACACCGTTCTCTCCGGTGGTACCACCATGTTCCCCGGTATCGCCGACAGAATGCAGAAGGAGATCACTGCCCTCGCTCCGTCGACCATGAAGATCAAGATCATCGCGCCACCCGAGAGAAAGTATTCCGTCTGGATCGGAGGCTCCATTCTCGCCTCACTCTCCACCTTCCAACAGATGTGGATCTCTAAGCAAGAATACGACGAGTCAGGCCCATCAATCGTACACAGGAAGTGCTTCTAAAGCGCCAAAGATTTTTCAGACCACCAGCAATATTAAATCCAACTGCTTTCTACACTGTGAGAAAGAACTGAACGTGAATGGCTTCTTTTTTAATGCGAGATAGGAAGCGAGTTTTAATATTTGGCTCTTTGCAATTATCATTTGCACCATAAGCGGAAACTTTAGTTTCGACGATTTAATAGGTTTTTTTTTTGTCTGGTAGAGATGAACTCGGCTCGCATTTCACCAACAGTGCAAGTTTAGACATACTTTCTCCTCCGTGAGAACGTCCGACTTCGCAATTATATTCTCTTTATGTCTATTCAAAAATAACAAAAAGACTGAAGTTTGACATAACTGTTAACTATTATAAATAATAATAGTGTGTAAGAACAATAGGTGAATAGCTTTTCAAATATTGTTACGACTGGATACTTTTTATAAAGAATTTGAATTCCGAATTTTTTTCAAGTAATCTTGATGTTTTTTTTCTACCTGTATATATAAAGATTTTTTGTAAATCGATCCATCAGATTATGTTGTTTTTATCCATGTGGATTTAAAGAATATAATCTATTGCGTATACACAACAGAGCGCCGAGATGCATTTTATCTTTCATATTTCTTACAGATTTGCTCCGTAAATTGAATCAAAATAAAAAACAACTCAAAAACTAATATTGTATTCTTGCTTTATCTGCTTATTAAATGCTTCGAATTACTCTTAATACATAGTACTTATGCTTCCCTGTACGTCCTCCATGATCTTTCCTTGTATTATAATTTTTTGATCATAAAAAGTTTAAATACAGTATTACGTGTTCTGTTTAAGTAATGAGCCTACGTTTCAAAAATTAGTTTTATATATCTGATTTGGTTAACTTTGTTTAATATTCTTTGGTTTTTAAGTTTTTCATGGATATGAGAAACTGCAAAGTAAATATATGAAAGCTATCGATTGTAAATCTTTTATAAGAAGTTATAATTTCTGTCCAATAAAACGAGGGTTTAAGTGATTTCACGCTGTCACTATTTTCATTCTAATCGTGACAAAATTAAAGGTACATATAATTGTTTTAATATGTTTTTTTAAATTGAGAGTTTGATTGCAATATTCAATAATTCACAAAAGTAATAGCACATGTTGATAAAGTATCTAAAGACAAGAATTAAAATATTAAGATCTATTCAAATCAAATTTCGCGCCTTAAATAATGTATTGACATGAAAAATCTATCACTGTCGTGGTCAATAATAAATAGTTTTAAATAAGTCAATTCTTTATAATGTTCCAAGTTAAAATACATTGATTCAATTAATATAATACGAATCGATCATCTTAAAATATCAACCTTTTTCAATTTATAAATTTTTTTACAACGTATAAAATGTATAACGAATTAACGATATCACGGACCGGTCCATTGATCAATCTCCCCCTGCATACGTATAGTTCATTCACTCTTAATTGAGAATATGATCTGAATTATATTATCTTTATCTTCTTTGTGGGAGATTTTAACACCATCGCGCTACTGTCGGAAAAACACGTTCAACAGCGCGATAAATCGCGACAACTCATCACCAAGTCAATACTCCATTGTGAGCGGTCTGGTGCAGCTTAATATCGTCAACCGTATATCTGAGCGAGTGTATTTTATTTGCGATTAGTGGGTTTCGATGTGGTATCAATAAAACTGGTAAAATGGCAGAGATCAACGGTTCACAATATTCGACATGGGTATGAATCGAACATGAATTTCTTATCTATTTTTGTTTTCTTTTTTACTCTTTTGTTTTACAATGTACTGATAATGAAGCCGAGTGATTTTTTTGCACTCGTTTTGTCTACTTGCTTATTCAACTGCTTTAATGATCGAAACATTTGTAATATTTATAATTTATATGCGTAGTTGTACATTTTTACTTGTTTTTGTTACATCGATGTATTTTGCTATTCTCGTATGGTTATGTGGAAATTTTACTTAAAGATAGATATTATTGGAACTAAGAAAAAGCGAGAGCAGTAATAATTTCAAATTAATAAAATAACAGAACCTCAATTTGGGCATGTTTTCCATGACGTGTGAAAAGCTTATTTATATATACATATTATTTTTAAATACCATTTCATTGAATACTTTACTTCATTTACCAAATGACCATACATACATTACTTAGTTAACAGTGGTATGTAAATGTTTATTGGTAAATATATAAAATATTTGAATGACTCTTGTATATTTTTGTTTTACAAAGTATTTATATACTAATTTATAGTATTATGCAGAACACTGCACTTTAAAAAATGTTAGTGAAATTTTTTCCCAGGAGATACTTTACAATATTCAACATTTTATGTGTAGGTTGGACTAATTTATGTCTTCAATCTCATCGTTGGAACAGGTGCTCTAGCCCTTCCAGCTGCATTCAGTCAAGCAGGATGGTTTCTTGGTACCATAATTGTGATAATATTAGCTTTAATAAGGTAAGTAAATAATAGTCTTTTGATATATTCTTTATAAGCAAATTATAAGTACAAGCTTTTTTCCAGTTTTATCACCGTTACATATGTGGTAGAAACAATGGCTTGTGCTAATGCTATTTTTACTTGGAGGAAAATTCAGCAGCGCAAAAACGTAGGTCTCATTTCTGACTCAGACTCAGAATTCAATGTACCGAAGTTAGAGTAATTTTTTAATTTATAATAGATGTTACAACATTATTTGCTCTATAAAATGACAATTCTAAATATTTTTAAACTTGAATTTGAATTACTTTAAGCTACAATGCATTTAAAAGATTATTTATTTTCTGTGATTGTATAATATATTTTTGAACATTTTTTTGACAGGTACAGCAAGCCCAGGGTGAGTCCTGTCCATCTAATTCTGATTCTGAAGACACTCCTTTAGTAACACCTGCTCCAAAAAGTCCAGAGCATACAGAAAGATCTCACTATTATGCTATACAAGATAAAATTGAAATGGGAGAAATGGCTTCCATTTTTTTCAGTAAAGCAGGAGTTACAGCATTTTACATCTGTTTATCAGTTTATCTTTATGGTGATTTAAGCATTTACGGAATAGCGATTGCCAAGTCATTAGCTGATGTTGCCTGTACCTATACTCTGCAAAATTTTACTTGCAATGGAACTATTCCAGAAGATCAACTTTGTTGGGCATCGTTTGGTTTTAGTTGACTAGATGTTTACAGAGTATTTTTGGTTTGTATTTCCATGTTATTTTACTATTATTTTGTAGAAAAATCTAAGTGCATACTAATTTTATATTGTTTTTAGACTTTATTTGTTTTGACATTGGGTCCATTTGCATTTTTCAATGTACAGAAAACAAAATATTTACAAATTTTCACATCAGTAACGAGGTGGTTAGCATTTATAATAATGATTGCATATGCAGTAAGAAAACTAATAGTTGATGGACCAAAAGGAAAACCATCTATGTCAAATTCAGTTGGTAAATTATTTTACTTTTGATTACTGTTTAGTTTAATAGAGTTTCTGAAAAATCAAAACACTCATTTTCTTTTAGAAATTCCTGCACTCTTGGGCGTATGCGTTTATTCATTTATGTGTCATCATTCTCTGCCTGCATTGATTGCTCCGATAAAGGAAAAAAGAAAGCTCAACAAATCCTTATTCATCGACTTTATGCTAATTTGTTCGTTTTATCTTTTACTTGCGCTCACTGGTGTTTTCGCTTTTGAGCATCTTGATGATCTCTACACTCTAGACTTTGGTCCTAGAAATTGTTCAACTAATCAAAACTTCTTTATACTCATTATTGAGTATTTCTTAGCTCTTTTCCCAGTATTTACACTGAGCACAAGTTTTCCTATAATTGCTATTACATTAAGAAACAATTTAAAGTCTTTGTTTTTGAAAAAGGATGAGACTTATAATATTTGTTTGCAGAAGCTAATTTTTCCCGTTTTAGCAGTACTGCCACCGTATTTGATTGCTATGAGCACAACAAACTTATCAGTAATAGTGGATATTACTGGTTCTTATGCCGGAGCTGGTATACAGTATTTAATACCTGTTTTCTTAGTATATTATGCAAGAAAACAGGCAGAGGAACTTATAGGACAAGAAGTAACGAATAAGTTCGCTAGTCCGTTTAGAGGAATTAGTTGGTTAGTTTTTATAATTTTATGGGCAATAATATGCATGATCCTTGTATCTATCAACTTGATAAATGAGCATTTTTTCCGTTAAAGGGTACATACAATAGATTAATTATAGTGATCAATTAAGAAAGTAGAAATTAAAGGAAAACAAGTTAGATTTATTTTATTTAATTTTACAGGCAAACTGACTGATTCAGTTGACTATAAATTGGTGAACATAATTTATAAATTGTGAAAATCGTACTAATTGTCTATTACTATGTATAGACAAATGATAGTTCTTTTACTGTGATAAAACTGCACAGTATATTGAATAATAATAAAAGTAAGACTATTTCCTTGGGAAACTAGAAATATATATACAAGAGAAAGTTGTATTTTATACAAATTAGTGGTATCAAAATAGCTTTTGATACATTTGAAATGCTCAATTAAAAGCATTTTATGTGTAGCTTCAATGACAATAATCTATGAAAGTCTAAAAATGAATTTATAATCTAACTTAAATAAATTACAGCATAGTTACAAACGTAAGTGATTATTTTATTAAATGTTCTTAAATGTAGAAATAGTAAATTACATGTAATTAATCAGTGTCCTTGTTTATTATTTTTATTGAGATAGATTAGGTAATATGTAAAAAAATTTATAGTTATATAGATTGAAACGTATTATAAGTATTATGCTATACATATTTAGTTACATGTATAGAAAACGAACTTTGTAATGAGACAATTTGCTTTCTGTGTGGTTCATCTAATTAAAAAGTTTTATAAATAATTTTGTAACATTACCTATTGCATTTAAGTGAGGATATCCTTGTTTCAAGTATCCTAGTAATGAATAGATTAAAGTTCTTTTTAATTTACTGCCAATGTATGTACATAGTTTGTACATACAAACCTGTTAATATATTAACAATCATTTTTTGTATAAAAATTATAAAGAAGAGTCAATGTGGTGCTATAGAATTTCACAATTTACTTTTGATACTTTGTACCAAGTAGCAAAAAATTATAAGAATGGTAAGAATAGATTTATGTAGAATTCAAATAGTTTTCATAACTTTAATTTTTAGTTAAATCTTATATTTTATTTTAAATATGTTATTAGAATGCAGGATACAGAGTTATATTGAAGTTAAAGTGTAAAACTAACATCAAATCATATAATTACATTAAATGTGAATGTATAGAATGAAAGGTATATTTAATATAAATATATATTTTTAAATACAAAATATATAAATTATAAGAAAATTAAAATGTATTGAATATAAATTTGAATAATAAATTTTTCAAAATACACGATCAAATTGTACTTTTTATTATGAAATATTCATAGCTTATAATTTAATTTGTTATTAGGTAAGAGTGAAAATAAAAATGAAATATTACAAACTGATCAAGTAAATTAGAGATCACGTATTATATGGATCAATTAATAAAAAAGTATAGCAATATTGCATTTACTTGTTATTTTCTTTTAAGTCATAATAAAGAAAAATAGAATAAAATCACTTTCTTTTTTGAATCATGAATAATAATCATCACTGATATTAATATAATTATGTAGAAGGTACTATAATTAATCATCCTATTCCATATTCTATATTCTTCGGATTATTGAGATGTATAAAGTAAAATGTATAACGTGCTCTTTTTAGGTTTATTTAAATATACAGTATTCGAGCATTTGAAAATAATTACTTACGAAATATATAAAACGCACAAACACAAAAACACGTACATACATACACGTGCGCGCGCGCGCGCGCGCACACACACACACAGAGTTATATACATGTTTCCACTGAATTTTAACATTCGCCATTTCGGTTGGGTTGCCAATTTTGCTGACGATTTTTTTTAGAATTCTGCATAAAAAATTAGTACTTTGGCTATCTCAGAATCTACAGAATTTTTTAAAGCCCACGCACACATCACACATACAAGCAGACTCACCTACCCGATCATTTTTTAAATGGTGTAGGAGGATAAAGTTTAACACGCTTCATGACTGAACTTACAGTTTATATAAGTATTATATAAATATTAAGTAATAATCAAAGTAATATAAGGGGTTGACTAGCGAAGTAACAGCAGCAGCGCGCGCGCATGTGTGTTCAGATGGTATTGTACCACTTTATTGTATCTTTACAAATAACGTTACTATAGGTGAAAACATTTTACATACATGTACATTTTTTACTATTATACAGTAAAATCTCTAGCCTGCTTTCAATCTATTACATTTCAATTTTATTTAATTATTTTTATAAGAAAATATAGAAAAGTGCACGAAAATTTCATATATGATAATTGTGAATAATGGTAAGATAGCAACACTAATTATTATTATTCGATTTAATGTTTATTAGTAATTCAAAGATTATAATTATAAACGTCATAACATTTATTTATTATTTGATTTTTTAGAATAGTCAATTTAAGAGATGAGATCGAGATAGAGGAAGAACGTACATGAGCATGATGAATTTATTAATGCCCGTAATCATCTAAGTCTTGAAAATCGACCTGAAGTGAGATTTATGTAAATGTCATACAAGCGGCCGGTCAAATAAAAAATTTGCGTTACATTGTCACATATAAATATATTTGTAAACTTATTATAGTTGATGTGGAATTACCTGGTGAACCTCATCACGCAAGAGAAGGATGAAGAGGACGCTTAGGTAGGGGACAAGAAGTTCAATGATCGTTGTGGTCAAGGAAATCGAGAGGGTCAACAAGCTTAACGAGAAGGTGAAAGCCGAAGAAAAGCTATTATAGCTAGAGAGGTTAAAGATGAAGGATAAGTAGCAGCCCAAGAAACAAATTTTCCTGGTTTAGAGAGAGAGAGAGGGAGAGAGAGAGCGAGAGAGAGAGAGGGAGAGAGAGAGCGAGAGAGAGAGAGGGAGAGAGAGAGGGAGAGAGAGAGCGAGAGAGAGAGAGGGAGAGAGAGAGGGAGAGAGAGAGCGAGAGAGAGAGAGGGAGAGAGAGAGCGAGAGAGAGAGAGAGAGAGAGAGAGAGAGAGAGAGAGAGAGAGACAAATGTATTTGAATATTAATTTGTTTTAGTTTAATATCACCCATGAAAAATTATGAATCTGATGTTTATGAAATGATGTTTATGCAAGGGCTCGAAAAGTTAAAGCTGCCTGAAAAATATCTAAATTAGAAATCTAAGTACGTAGCATTATTTATCACTAGCCACCTCCTGCACTTATTTCCACAGTCCTTTCTATATTTTGCTATTACGAGTATTTAATTTTTCTTCTTCATAATTTATTATTGCATGAAAGTTATCAAATAGGAGATGTTTCTTCCTAAAGTATTCGTGATTGCGCTACAGTACAACAATTTTTCAGACACTGACACCCTTTGCACTCACCAATTCACCCCTATATTTGATTATAATTTTTCACTAGCCAAAAATTGTTTAATGTACGTTTATCAACTCATCTTTATAGTCGTTTACATTTACCTCTTATAAAAATATTTAGTTATTTATTTATAATTGTTTAGTAACGAAAATTGTTTAATGGATAGTGTTGTCCGGAAAATATTCAAAGTTCAAAAAATATTCATATTGAAAGACGTAAATACATTTTTGCTGAGTGCATCTCCTAAGCACTGTTACTCCAGAAAATGAATGTTTATTACTAACAATAAGCCGCGTGCAATTCTCGTCTTTTTATTTAACTCTCGCCTCTGCTTGAAGCTCCGGAATTCCTCGGCCGGTCTCTCTTTCTTTATCTCTCTCACTCGTTCGTGCTATCTATTTATAACAATTGCGTATCTATTTTTTAAATATTTATGTTGATTTTTCTGAATGTTATATTAAGCACTAATTTTGCTATGATTGTTGGAATATATCAATTTTACCATATAACTGGTTAGTTTAGATTTAGTATTGTTTTTAATTATCTGTACACAAACAACTTGAAAACTATTATTCTACACTCCCTTAAACACGTACTTTTTCTCACAAAATATAAAATGAAAATTGCAAAGATACCATGTAATTGCTTAGAACCGTAGTTTCTATGGAACTATCACAATGATAAACTACGAATTACCTTGGAGAAAGACGAAGCATCTGTAATACTACAACTTTGATCTCTCAGGACAATTTAAGCTGCATTTCATCGCAAAGTTGATTGCGCGTGGTTTTTCCCATTAATTTGTTTAGTACATTAGAACCTCATGTACATGTATTTATAACATATTATATAGATAAATAAAAAATTTCTATTTTACTCCATCAAAGAATCTTGCTAAATTTTACCCATCAAAATTTTCTTCATCAACAAACGGAAAAG